CCACGGCGATGTCCCCACAGCATCCCCATAAGAAACGTAACCTCAGTTCACCCGCAGGGGAGCGGCTAAGTGAACCGGCCTGTCATTCTTCGGTATATTATGAGGTATAAAAGAAAAAAAGAGGTAGTTAATGTATGTTGAGTGAACAAAACACATTATTTAAAAAAATATATAGTGGGATAGCTTTGTGCTTCCAAATGTTTTCTTCCAGCAAAACTACATTTCTATTATAAGTACACATTGCACACACATACACACAAGCCCTGTAGGTCTACATTTGTGCACATGTAACTGCACAGAGGAAGGTCTTAGATCGCGTGCATACAGAAGATGGTAACTGGTTACTTCTGGAGAAGAGAGGAAGAGGCTGAGATGGGCTGACAGACATGTCTGGCCTAACGTTTCATTTTTATAAGGACTGTGCACGTTTCTGTGTTACCCGGTGACTGCAAATGGACGTGTCTTTAAAAAGATAGGCCAGGACGGGCCCCGTGGGCACTGCGGGCAGGGGTACAGCACGGTGACGTGGGCGACCGCCCATCCGGTCACTCAGTCCTGCGGTTTTGTGCTTTGTCTTGTCCTCATTCATTCGACAGACGCTTCTCAAGCACCTCCTGGGTGTCATACGCTGTTCTCAGCGGTGGGGAGACAGGCAGGGTCTGCCTCCGAGAACCTGTCCTCCAGGGGAGACGGACAAGCGGTCACATCGCTTCTGACAGAGTGCGGATATGGAGGGAGTAACACTGGACACGGAGCAGCGTGGCGGGGCGTTCTGCCGGCTGTCCCCTCAGGCTGGCCCAGAATCTGGCCTGTTCTCACCGCTCCATGGCCACCACTCCATCCGAGCCACCGTCCCCTCTCACTGGGTTACTGCAACACCTTCCTCTCTGGTCTCCGGGCTGCCATTCTGTCCCCACTCCCTGTCACATGCCGCCTGAAGGACCCTGTCACTATGTAAATCAGACCCCGCCCCCCATCTGCTCCAGACCTTCCTGTGGCTTCCCTCTCACTCAGGGCAGAGGCCAAAGGCCTTCCAACAGCTCGCAAGGCCCGACGTGGTCTGACCTGGTTCTCTCTCCAACCTCATCTCCCCCATTGTCCCCTTGCTCACCGGGCTGCGGCCACACCAGCCTCCTGACCGCTCCTCAGGTGCTCTGGGAACATGCTGCCTCAGGGCCTTTGCGCTTGCTGCTTCCTCTGCTCATACAGCTCTTGTTTCATGTCACCATGAAGTGCCCTCCCTCATCTCCTTCAGGCCCAGCGCCATCTTTCCTAGCTACCCCAACAAGGGCTGCAGCCCCGTACCTCGGCATTTCCTGTCCTGCCCCGCTGCCCCCATAGTATGTGTCCATCTAACATGTGATACATTTTGTTGATTTATTGTTACTGTCAGCCTCTTGCTCTGGGAGCACCCTGGGGCAGGCTCTAGAGAACAGGGCTTTGTGCTGTCTTCCTGGTACTTAAAACAATGCTGAGCATGTGGCTGAGTGAGCATCTGTTGAGTGAATGGACAGTTACTTTTGATAGAAAAGACCTCTCTGACGAGAACTGAGGGATGAAGGGATGGCCCTGGAAGTTGGGGGAAGACTGGTCCAGGCAGAAGGCACAGTAAGTGCAAAGGCCCTGAGGGCAGAATCGTGCTTGTGAGTTAGGGCAGAGGAAACAGGCCAGGGGCTGGGCCCTGTGAGCAAGGGTCGGGGATGAGATGAGTTGGCAAGGCTGGCAAAGACAGACAAGTAGAACCTGGTGGCCAAGGGCAAGGAATTTAGATTGTATTCTACAATTTTTTGTTAAATCCTCATCCGAGCATATGCTCACCAATTTTAGAGAGCAGGGAAGGGAGAGAGAGAAAGAAACATGATGTGAGAGAGAACATCAATTGGTTGCCTTCCTGTACCCATCCTGACTGGGGATCTAAGCCCCCTAGGTATGTGCCATGGCCAGGAATCAATCCTGCAACCTGTCGGTGTAGGAGATGATGCTCCAGCCAACTGAGCCACCCGGCCAGGGCACATTCTATAATTTTTTTTTGTTGTTGTTGTTCAGATAGAGCGGGAGGGAGAGAGAGGAAGAGAGAGAGAGAGAGAGAGAGAAACATCGATGTGAAGGGACACATCGAGTGGCTGCCACCCGCACGACCAACCAGGGCCGGGGACAAACTGCAACCGAGGTACATGCCCTTAGCGGGAACTGAACCCGGGTCTCTCTGTACCGCAGGCCAACGCTCTAACCGCTGAGCCAAACCGGCCAGGGCTCATTCTATAATTTTTTAAACACTAAGTCCTCCCTATGTTTAATGCCTTCCATTCTGACATCAACTTTGTGAAGTCGGTGAAATAACTATTCTCATTTAACAGATAAGGCAAGTGAACCCCAAAGAGGTTAGGCCACTAGCTCAGGGACCTATGACTGGTAAGAGCTGGAGCCAGATGCACTGGGAGCTGCTGGGGGGCCTTCCTGGGTCCCTGTTCCCTGCAGAGTCCCCATGAGTGTAGCTGTATGGCTCATGCCTCCCTGCGGTCCTCCTTGGAGCTGGGCCCTGGGAGCTGAGTTACTCCGTAATGACTCTAACAGGAGGAAGGGCCCAGGAGGAGGGAGACAAGGGGGTCAAGCAAGAAGAGCCCCGGTCTGGCGCCTGAAGCCACAGCTGGGGTGGAATGTCCCCCCCAGAGTCCCAGAGCCCACGCCCATGTCAAGAAAGAAGAGTGTGTGTGTGTGTGTGTGTGTGTGTGTGTGTGTGTGTTTGTGTAACCTGACCCTGGGCCCTGCCTGCTTGGAATTTGGGAGCCACCCCTCTGCCCCATGGTGCCACCCCCACAGCCGCTGCCTTGGCAGACAGCTTGCTCCAGGGCTGTGGAAAGGGCACAGGCAGCTCCAAGTCACAACAAGGAGAGAGATGAGGTTTGTGGGTGCCACTACCTTGGGGGATGGGCCACTGGGGGCTGGAGACTCCCTGGAGCAGGACAGAAATGGATTACTCTGGGTTTGATTCCTGGCCCTGCCATGCTGTGCCACTTCAAGCTGGTTACTTAACTCCACCACGCCTCAAGGGCCGCACCTGAAAAATGGGCTCACAGCCTAACGGGAGCGTGACAATTACACGAGACACAGCACAGCATACGGACAGGAGAGCGGACTGCGGAGTCAGACCTCCTAGGTTCCACCGTGGCTGTCACTGGACAGCGCCACCTGGACGAAGCTATAGAAGGTCCGGCCGCCAGTCCCTCCTGGGTAGACGGAAATGAATGCACGTCTCAGAGCTGTGGGGACTGGATGAGCTCAGACGTTAACGCCTGGCACACGGCCATGTGTCTGCTCTGATGGTGATGGAGGAGGAGCAGAATTCATCTAGATGTACAGTGCTTTGGACAGTCCTGACGCACAGTACGTGCTCGCAAAAACTACAGACACGAGGCGGGACTCATCTAAGGGACAGTGGCGCTAGGCTCCCACGGTGGCAGCCAGGCAGGAATGGGGGCCCAGGGTTTCTGAAGCTGTCAGCCTTTCAAGAGAAACTGGGAATCCAGATTGTCATCCAAACTCTCCCATTTTTACATAAAACATGGTGTCACCCAAACAAAGGCGTACCTGAGGGTCAGACTTGGCTGTGAGCTGCCAGTCTGCAGAGGTGGCTTTGGACTCGCTGTGATTATTGGATTCAGAGGACCACGGCAATGGAATAGTAAGTGTAACCCTTGCACCGTGCCCCCAAGCTGTGCCAGGCACTGCATATAACATCACCTCATTTAATCCTTGCAATAAGCACCCTGGGAAGTGGGTCATGGTTCTGCCCCATTTGACAGGTGAGAAAACTGAGGCATAGAAAGGCTCAATCGTCTGTCCAAGGTCCTTGCACTGGGTGGCAGTGGAGCAGGGACTCAGACTCAGGTCTTTCTCACCCAGCAGTCTCTGCCTCGTCCTATCCTTGCTGGCTCTGGAATGAAGACAGTCTTACGGTGACTTGTGTCTACAGAAAGGAAAAGGATGACTGTCTTTGAACAGGGCTCAACGCAGCATCCAGATGCTCAAAGAGCCCAGGGCGGTTTACATGCACGCTCCTGAGTGCCAGGGAGAACGAGGGTGTGTTCCCGGCCATGTGGTTTGGGCATGGGAGCCCAGCCCCTCCTGGTGGCACTTACAGAAGGGCTGTTCCAGCTTCATTACTGGCATGGGAAGAAATGTCCGTGTCTTGGTGACATCAATAATGACTCCCAGAAGCCTGGAGTTGCTTCAAAGCAAATTCCTTGTGACGTGATATTCGACTAGACGCTCATCTCTTTGGTTTTCCGGGGCAGCGGCACGGCCTGTGTGCCCATGAGCCGGTGTCCCCCAAGACGGCGAAGGAGAGACAGCGGGGGTCCCAGACTACCAGCAGCAAGTCCCCAAGCTGGTGCCATGAAGGGTTAAGCCCGATGACTGAACAGAATAGCTTAACGCCTTTTGTTAACTCCAACTCCACCAGGAAGCTTGACAGACCCCAAGCAAGCAAACAATAGCTGGAATTGTTCTAGCGAAAACTCGTCCAGCCGCATCATTTGCCAATAATTTTGAAAACAGCTTAACTCTCCTCGGCTTCCTTGACTTCAACCCGACCAGAAAGCAAAAGGCGGACGAGTTCTTGTCCCAACACCAACCCCCTTTAAACAAGACGCCCGCCTGGATGCCGCGGTGGGAGGAGAGGACAGAGCGCAGACCCAGGCGGTGCCCAGACACACCCGAAACTGCCTATCATCTGCACAGGTGTCAGCGTTTCTCGAAACCGGAGACCAAGAAAACGGCTCAGACCAGATCGAGCACACTTTCACCTCGGATGAGCAGACAGAGCCATCAGCATCGTGCGCTGAAGTTTTGGTCCAGAGGCAACCGTCTAACAGGCCGGACGAGAAATCGTGATAACAACGGTACTTTCTAGAGGATGAGTGTCTAAGGCCTATAGCTCCTTACTCTATTCCATGGGGCGGCCGGGACACCCCGGGCACCAAGCTCCCCAGGAGGCCTACCTTCTGCGTCACTCAGAGCCCGGACATCAGCGGCGTCAGCCGTGAGCGTCCCTTTCCCCGCACAGGTGCCGTTTACAGTGAGGCTGGGTGAGATCACTAGTTCTAGCATTTCCTTGTACCTGGAAGAAAACAAAGAGAAATGTAATTTATTCATCGATTATGCACGCTTCCTAATGACTTCTACTTCTTTCCCTAAGAGTATACATGTGAAAGCTGCTTATCCAAACCCCACCGTCGTATGAATTCTACATAATAAACATTCACCCCACTTTTCATCCGAGGGAAATGAAGTGCGCACTCCCCTCGGGAGAAAACGCCCACCGGAGGAAAACTTTCCCCTCCTTCCTACTGCGTTTTTCCATTAGAAAAATTACATTTGGGCCCCTTTGAAATGTCATCTGAATGGGCTGGAGTGAGGCAGGGAGCCGTCCCGGGAGAGGAAGGGAGAAACAGGCAGGGAGTGTTTGAATTTAGAGCCACCAAAGCCAGGGGCATGGCGAGAAGTCAAGCGGGCTGTGGTTAAGACGGAAAAACGGACCTGGTGCTACCTGGTGTAACTTGTTCAGACGCAGAAAGACTCAAAGGCATCACTGATATTCAAGTCCCTGTAGGCAGCAACTTTCACCGCCCATCACTGTGGTCCCTCCCCAGAAAAAATACACTAGCTCCTGAATTACTCACAATTTTGATAAAATGTGATGTGGGTGGGCATGGAAGGATAGGGACAAGTCTCTTGGGTTGTTCTCATTGTTGTTGTTTTTGTTTTTTTGTTTTTTATCCTAACCCGAGGACATTTTTCGATATTTTGTTCAGATAGAGTGAGAGAGAGAGAGAGAAACATCGACGTGAAAGCGACACATCGAGTGGCTGCCACCCACACGACCCAACCAGGGCTGGGGACAAACTGCAACCAAGGTATGTGCCCTTAGCGGGAACCGAACCCGGGTCTCTCCGGACCGCAGGCCGACGCTCTAACCGCTGAGCCAAACCGGCCAGGGCTCATTGTTGTTGTTTTTTAAATCCTCAACCTGAGGATATTTTCTCCATGGATTTTTAGAGAGAGCGGAAGGGAGGGAGGAAGGAAAAGAGAGAGAGACACACACACATTGACTGGTTGCCTCCTGCAGGCACCCTGACAAGGGCCAGAGATCAAACCTGTAACCGAGGTACATGTTCTTGACCAGGGACGGAGCCTGTGACCCTTTGGTCCATGGGCCGACACGCTAACCTATGAGCCACACTGGCCAGGCCTCTCATTTTTTTATTGGAAACTTCTCTAACTCTTGTACTATGTCAGTATCTATTCCTCCCAAATTCCTGCCCACTGTGGTTAGGAAATGAGGTTTCCAGTGAATGGGCCCAACATCGTACATGGCAATTTGCAAAGGACTAAACTATAACCAGCAACGTTTGGCACCGAGTCAAGGTGTCCTCAGAGAAAGGCTAAGCCTATTATTTATTTATTTATTACTTTTTATTTTTTTGTTAATTCTCACCCAAAGGGAGGGGGAGAGAGAGAGGGAGAGAGAAATATCGATGTGAGAGAGACACAGTAATTGGTTGTCTCCTGCACGACCCCAACCAGGCTGGGGATCGAACCTCTAACCACTGAGCCAAACTGGCCAAGGCAAGAAAGGCTAAGTTTATTGACTGCACATCCATATCCAAAGGTCATGATCCATCATTACTGTGAGAATAAACACAACGTACTGACTGATGGCAAAGTGGTTATAAACTCAGATGTCATCGTGAAAAGGCTGTGGATTCAAATTCCGGTGTCGCTCCTCACTATGTTGAACAAGCTACCGAACTACTCTAAGTCAAAAGTGTTCTCACCTGGACGGTGGGAATTATCGAGGTACCTCCCTGACAAGGTCACGGTGAGACGGAAAGAGATGATACATGTAAAGAAAGGAGTTAGTAGGTGGCAACCGAAATGGCCATTCACTACCACAGGAATGAATAACTGGGCAGTAGGTTCACAATGGAATACAATACAGCAGTGGAAAAGGCTGAATGAAGCTCCACACAGCACAACAGACAGATCGCCAGGCACAATACTGAGCAAAGAGGCAGAAGGGAACCCACAGGTGATACCGTTCCTGTGAAGTACAAAATACACAGACCACTATTATACACTATTTAGGGATACAGACACATGCAATAAAAATATAATAGCATGTGTAGGAACAAGAAGCACTGATTTCAGGACAAGGGTTAACTCTAGGAATAGTAGGGGGTGCAGTTTGGGAAGTGGTACCCTGGGGGTTTCAACTGTGTAACATTTTCGTTCAGGGGTTGACACTGACTCTGGCCCATCTGAATCCAGCCTGCCATCTGTTTTTGTGTGACCCGTGACCTAAGGATGGCTTTCCCATTTTTAAATGCTTGAAAAAAAATCAAAAGAAGAATAACATCTCGTGATGTGAAAATTATGTCCGATTCAACTTCCAGGACCTTGGTAAGCGAAGTCTTTGTGGTTTATTAGTTTACTGAATGGTCCATGATTACTTCCGTGCTGCAACTTCTGAGGGATTGCGATAGAGACCCGCAGAGCTGAAAACATTTAATATCTGGCAGAAAATATTTACCACCCCTGGTTTTAGTTTGCAAGCAGGGTGATGGGCATACCACTGTTATGTGGTCACTCTGCATCCTTGTGTGACTGAAGGACTTAATTTTTCTTTTAAAAAGAAAGAAATCGCGAATTCCAGGACTTACACATAGGCAGTACTTTATATATACTTTTTAATCAGATGAGAGAATCCCACATAAATCGGCTCCTACTGCGTATATCTCTGCATTAGCTGATACATGTTTGGTTCCCCAGTGTCCCCCGGTATACATGCTTGCTGTGTGCCTGTTTTCTTGTTCCCCAAATGCCACAGACACTCCAGGAGAGAGGCTTAGGAGTCTCGTTCTTTTAATACTTTAGTATATGGAGCTCAGCAAACAGCAGACATTGAACCTATTGTCTGACTGTAAGTATCAGAATTTTGCATTTTATCCAGACTCATTCCCTCCATCCTTCTGGGTGTATGCACACAATTCAAGGTTAAAAATGAACATGATGTAAAAAATATCCAGATGCTATGAGTATGATGGGTATTAGAGGTAGCAAACTGTCAGCTAAATGACCCAAACCAGTTAAAAACAAAGTGAACTGTCTTTCTGCATCCTCAGGGTTTAAAAGTCATTGCCGGTATTTTAAAACAAAGCAATTTCATGCAAAAACTAGATTTTCAGCTTCTCTTGAAAGTGGAAACATAGTGCCAAATTTCCGCATGGCAACAATTAGCTGAGCTGACTAGTGGCAGACGAACTTAATCAAGCAAGGTGCATGGGCTCCAGTTTGCCACAGTCCCCACCCCTCCCTAGTGTCTGGCATTTGACCCCCCTTTCCCATTTATATTTCCTCCAGGTCACTATAGGCCTTTGCATTTGAGACCCAGCATATTGTCGTCAGGAAAGCCTGACAAGGAAGAAATAGCAATGTGACGTCTGGCCTCAGTCACCTAGCTTATTTGTTTTACTGAGTGCCGCTGTCATCCTCAAGAGCTCTTCGCACATCCAAAGAGCATTTGTTGACATTACGGCAGAGCAGGAATGTGTTTGTGAGTTTTAACTCCGGGACAGAGCACTGCAGCGAAAGCTTTTGGTGTCTTCGCCCTTGCCTGATATCCTCGCAGGCCAAGTGACACGGAAATCATCTCTATTCCCTTCACTCAGAACCTTCTTCATTCTGTCACCTGATTGGCATCTGCTGGAGAAGGCGAGGAAGGCAGGCATGGAGGTGGCGAGGGACTGGGCAGCAGGGAGGGAGAAGATCTATAACTGAGTGATTAGCTTCTTTCAATAAGATTTTTCAAAGTTCCCATTTCTCCAACTCACCCTAGACAATGACTCTAATGAATTAAATGTGTCTCCTTAAATGATGGCATGTTGTTTTATTTTAAAAATGTTTTTATTAATTTTTTTCTTTTTTTAGAGCGGGAGGAAGGGAGAGAGAGATAGAAATATCAGTGTGAGAGAAACATCGATTGGCTGCTTTCTGCACACCCCCTACTGGGGACCGAGCCCGCATCCCGGGCATGTGCTCTGACCAGGAGTCGAAACGGGACCTCTCAGTCCATGGGACGAGGCTCAATCCACTGAACCACACCGGCAGGCACTGTCGTATTGTTTTACGTGTGATGTGTCACTGGGTATCTATGAACTCAACTTCACGCACTAAATAGGCTGTTCTTCATAGTTCCTGGGTTAACCTAGATGCCCACCAGAAGGGCACACGCCTTCTAGTTTCACAAATTCTTGCTAACACTTGACATTGTCCACTTATCTAATTTTTGCCAAGCTGATGGGTGGAAAATGATATCTTATAGTTGTTTTAGGTTGCATTTTATGATTACTAGTAAGTTTGAGCACATACTCGCCTAATTATGGGGCATATGAGTTTCTGAGGACTGTCTATTTATATCTTTTATCCTTGCTCCGATTTCTACTGGATTTTCTTTTTCTTTTTTGTTTTCTTGTTGGGTTGCTGGAGTGTCTTGTAGAATCTAGGTACTGGTTCATTGTTGGTTTTAGATGCTAAAAGTTTCCTTTCTTAATCTTTCATTTTCTGTTTTCTTTATTTATGGTGTCCTGTAGAATAATAAAAAAAAACAACCCATCTTATATATTTGCCCAATAATTTCCTTTTTTTTCCTAAATGTAAAACTTTTTTCTCTAACTATGGGATATTGAAGTTTGTCTAGATTTTAAGCTATTGACTTGGAATTTGATCTTTCAGATTTAAGTCTTTAATTCATCTGAAGTCTTCCACTTAGTAGGATTGATAGTTGCATTTTCCTCCAATATTGGAGAAAATGAAAGTAAGCCATTTTCCCTTATATTTAAGTCTCTAACTGAATTTATTCTCCTGATATTCTGGGATAGTTTGTATTTTTGGTTTAATCTCAGTACACAATCGAAAATAAAAGCTACAAAACATTGTTTTGTTTTTTTAATCCTCACCCGAGGACATTTTTCCATTTTTTTTTCAGATAGAGTGGGAGGGAGAGAGAGGAAGAGAGAGAGAGAGAGGGAAACATCGACGTGAAGGGACACATCGAGTGGT